CTACAACTTTTGAAACTTATTATTATTATAATTTTATAATAATATTATTATATTATATATTATAATATTATTTTCCGCTATACTTGAGATAAATGTAGAGTTATAATTTTGTGTACTGCACATCAGTTTAAATGCAGCTGTAAAATTAAAATGTATGTATAACGTCGATCTAAGGGTAGTAACGATCAACAGACTGAAACCAGAACAGCTACCCCTGTTTAGTTTTATCGACACTCGACTCGCAATAAAAATTACTAAAGAATCCCTTCTTACATCGATGAATTGCCGAACGGTCGTCGAAAATAATAGTATAAACGTATGGCAATAAATCTTTTTTTTTTTTATGGAAGTGATGAGTAAACAGGAAGAACCGATATATTTGTCTACTATACATATTTATCAGTAATGCTCTCTCTGTTTTTAATCACATGCTCTTCGTGCACCGACTTAGTATAAACAATTGGCTTATTATAACGTTCATGATAATATATATATGCAGTAGTATCAGTAATCAACTTTAGGAGAGTGTTTGAAGACATTGTCAAATGCATTAGAAAGTATAAAAATATGTAGGTGCTATTAATAAAATTTAATTTCAATGTTTTTGGTTATAAGGATAATATTAACAAATCGTGACATTCCAAAATATTCATACTGTGGATAGGTATACTCTTGTAACTAGTGGGTAATACTGAGAGTGCAGAGAAATACGTGAAGAAAACACAATTTGTATTTTGTTCAATATTCTTATGTATACTCTCACATACTTGTAGCTTTTTGTGAAGATCACAAATAATCTAAGGTTACTCCCTTAGATCGTAAGTCTAAATATACTATAAATTTTGTTTAAAAAATAAAACTATTTAATTATAATTATATTCATTTATAATCAAAAGTAAAAAAGGTAAATTTATAATTGTAAAACATGAATTGTTCAGTTAATCAGTAAATAGTTGTTAAAGGCCGAAAATGACGAGAGAGACTTTTGAAATATGCTGTCGTAAAAAATATTAAAAACTCATCGGATAGAAAAAATAAGATATTAAGAAATTTTTTAAATGATAAAACTAAGATATCAAAAATATACTGAAATTTAGAAGCAAAACATAGATATTAAAAGATCAAATGGCCATAACGACGTTTAAATTTTTTTAAACGTTTTCTAATAATTCAAATAATATGGACATAGTAAATTTTAACATTAATTAATTAATTTAAATATTCATTGATATTATAAAATTTTATCTTGTACTTGAAAATGTTCAAATTTCTTGGCACTTCAACCACAAAGCATTAGTTATCAAGGCGCATTTACGAATTATGCCACCTGGATACTCAATTCTACCACCCCAAGGACCTTTTTATTGTGCTCATCAAAAAATTTATCTCTGCATCACTATTTTTTCTTATTTAAATAAGCAAACAAAAAGTTATCAACTGTATAATTTATATTGCTGGCTAGCGTTTCTTTTAGTACTACCCTGAAAACCCATTGTTCAATGTATCTCTAGATGTGGCCATTAAAAATAATTCGGTAAATTTGTATTTACCATTAAAATGTAAATATTTAAATATTAATGTATTTCATTTATTGTCTTAATAAAAATGCACAATGTCAAACTTAAAATATTTTAACTATAGACCTAATTTGTGAAATAAACACAAAAATTTGCAGATCAAAAGTTTTAAAAGAAAATGTATATAAATTATGAGTAAATATTATAACTCGCAATATAATGTGCAATTCATGTATATTTTGGCATAATTTCAGTCATCTTTCAACTATCATCATTATTTATTACTCCGTTTCGAAATGAATGTGTCGTAGACTTCTATAAGTTTTTCTAAATTTTAAAAGACTTTTTTTAATAAATATTAGTTAAGCAATTTTTTATTTGAAATTAACAAATGATTTAATTCTCTGCTATGAATTAAGAAATTAAAATTTGTTAATTTTACTTACTGAGTTGTGGAGGTAATGTGCCATTCAGTGCAGTAAAAAATGTAGACTTTGAAGAATATGTTCGACTCATACCATTTTTTTTCATAGCAAACTTGTCAAACTTTTCTATGAATTCCCCTAAAATTTTGAATATATTGTTTAATTTAAATAGGTTTTGTTAATTAGAACTCAATAGTTTATTACTCCTTAGAATTAAGAAGATTATGCCATTATTTATTTGGCCAATCAATGTTAGTTTAAAATATGTAAACATTGAAAAAGATTCTAAATAATATTAATTTATTTTTAGGGGTGGAATAGTAATATTTATTATTAAAAATAAATCAGATACATATGAAATGTATCAAACAATTAAATTATTAAAATAAAGTTCTCTTTACCCTATTACAAAAGCTAAAAGGAGCACGATATTTTTTAAGGCAATTTTTGCGATTTTACTAGAGGATCATAAAAAAAAAGTTGATAGAAGGTATCATCCTTATGTTTTACTAAATAAAAATTGATTGTTCAATATATTATTTCAGTATATTTAAAATGTATAAATGAATATCAGGGTATCATATTGTGTATTAATTATAGTAAATAAATTTACTTATACACAGAAAGCCCGGAGGAAGTCCAGAAGATGACATTGTACCTTCTTGAATTACTCGTGTTACTAACAAAAAAAAACTAACGTTACATATTCAACCCTAAATATCAAGTATTTTAATTTTAGTTTAAGTTTTACCAATGAGAGATAAATTCTGAGCAATTTTTACTAGCAAAATTATTTTAACTAGAAGCGTTTAGTCGAGAGACAATTTGGTTTTGTATAGTTCACGAATAGGTGAAGTAAAATTTACTATCTGTTTATTTTTAGGGTTATTCCAAATGGTCAATAATATCGATAATAAAGTTATTAATGTTCTAGTAAGGAAGTTGTTATGTAATAGGTTTATTGATTGATATAAAATCGTAATTAGTGATGTAGTAGACGCGTATATAAAGTTTATTTTCAATTGGAAGTTTAGATAATTTTTTTAATTCAAATAGAAATTTATTGTACAATTTTTTTTGTCTGCTCATGAT